TGGGCACCGGCCGGGACGGGCTCTCCCGGGACGCCGCCGGGGCCGGGTCAGGCTCCGGAAGGAAGAGCCTGGCCGGCCAGGAAGTCTTTGGGCCGGATAACTTCCGATGGCCCTGCTTCCCCGGCCGTGGAGCCGTCTGAGGCCCTCTCTGGGCTGAACCTACCCGGTAGGCGCTGTGCTAAACCGGCTCCACTCCCTGGTCCCCCAAATCTCCTCTGAGCTCCCTGGCTGGCAGTTGGGTTTAGAGAAATGATTGGTATGAAAATGCATTTATAGAGAGAGAGGGAAAGAAAAGGGATAAAACTAGGATTTACCTGTATCTCTTGTTCCTGGGTGGGACACCTCGTGATGAGGTTTGTGGGAGAGAAATGATGTAGCCATCCCACTAATGCCTCCCCAGGAGTTGAAGTCATTCTCCTAGGCAACACTGAGTTCAAATTCCAGTTCTGCAACTTGCCGTCTGTGTTATGGAAGGCAAGTTACTGGAACTCCTGAGCTCCAACTTGCCCTTCCCCCAAACACACTCAATACACCCCTATGCCATATATTCCATTACATCATTTCTGTGATGTGTTTGTGGTATAATGGCATATTTATATAGAAATGAGTACTGTGCACACGGTGTGTAGAGTACCTATGAGTCAAGCATTTGCCTAAGTGCTTTAAGTAGATACAGTCAACCCCGTTTTTCAGATGTGGCTACTGAGGCTCAGATACGCTAAATAACTTGCTCAAGGGCACAACTACTAAGTAGTGAAACAGGGAATCAGACCCACAATATATCTCTCATATCTGCATGGATATTGCCATCTCCCAAAAGCACTATGTAGGCAAGACTAACATTTTACTTAAATTCACAGACACCTGGGAGAGACATGTTATTCTCATCCTATTCATAGGTGAGGAGAAGGCCCAGAGAGGACATGACCTGCAGAAGCCTATGTATGCTGCCTCCTGTCTTCCTTAAACGTTTTTAAAATATTGATCTTCGAGAGAGGAAGGGAGGGAGGGAAGGGAAAAGAGAGGGAGAGAGAAACGTCAATCAGTTTACCTCCTGCATGCGCCCTGACTGGGGATGGAGGCCACCACCTGACTATGTGCCCTAATTGGGAATCAAACTTACTGCCTTTTGGTGTAGGGACGACACTCCAACAACTGACCCACATTGGCCAGGGCCCCATTGTCTTCTTTATTATTTTTTTTATACTTTTATTGATTTCACAGGGGAAGGGAGAGGGAAAGAGAGATAGAAACATCAATGATGAGAAATTTTTGATTGGCTACCTCCTGCAAGCCCTCTAATGGGGATCAAGCCCACAATCTGGGCATGTGCCATTGACTGGAATCGAACCCGGTACCCTTCAGTCTGCAGACAGACGCTTCATCCACTGAGCCACACTGGCCAGGGCCCCCTTGTCTCTTTGATAATCGTGTGCCTTCTCCCCTAGGACCCGCTATATCAGCACCGAGCTGGGCATCAGGCAGAAGCTGCTGGTGGCAGTGCTGACCTCACAGGCCACGTTGTCCACTATGGGTGTGGCCATGAACCGCACACTGGGGCACCGGCTAGAGCGTGTGGTGTTCCTGACAGGCTCTCGGGGCCGTAGGGCACCACCAGGCATGGCTGTGGTGACATTGGGCGAGGAGAGGCCTATTGGCCACCTACACCTGGCACTACGCCACCTGCTGGAGCAGCACGGCAACGACTTTGACTGGTTCTTCCTAGTACCTGATACCACCTACACTGAGGCCCACGGACTGGTGCGCCTAGCTGGCCACCTCAGCCTGGCAGCTGCTGCCCACCTCTATCTGGGCCGGCCCCAGGACTTCATCGGTGGAGAGCCTGCCCCAGGCCGCTACTGCCACGGAGGCTTTGGGGTACTGTTGTCCCGCACCCTGCTGCAGCAGCTGCGCCCCCATCTGGAAGGCTGCCGCAACGACATCGTCAGTGCGCGTCCCGATGAGTGGCTGGGACGTTGCATCCTCGATGCCACAGGGGTGGGCTGCACTGGTGACCACGAGGTGAGAAGATAAGCCGCCCCACTGGTGCCTCCTATCTGAGCTTGTGTACTTCCCCTGAGAGGCAAAGGGGTGGTTGGAGATACAGGCTTGGATTTCCATGCCAGTTTTGCCCTTTTCTATCCCTATGACCTTGGGTAAATTACTGAATCTCCTGAGTGGCAGTATCCTCATCCATACCAATGGAAATAATTATTGCTCAGGGTTGTTATAAGGATTAGAAAAAAATAAGAGAGCTTTGCACATAGTAGGTGTTCAGTATTGGCAATTATTATTTTATTTGAGCCCCTGGACAGCTCTGAGATAGGATGCATGCCCATTTCCTAGATGAACTAGCAGAGGCTTGACCAAGGTCACACACAAGCTGACAACCAGCCAAGGTACTTAAAACCACAATTCTGATTGCAAGTCCACAACAGGTCAAGGGTGGGGAAATGAGACACACACTAGGAGGGGAGGGGTGGAGGCTGTTCCATCATTCTTCCCTTTATGGACCCCTACTCTTTCTCTCCAGGGAGTGCATTATAGCTACCTGGAGCTGAGCCCTGGGGAGTCCGTGCAGGAGGGGGACCCTCGTTTCCGCAGCGCCCTGACCGCCTACCCTGTGCGTGACCCTGTGCACATGTACCAGCTGCACAAGGCTTTTGCCCGAGCTGAGCTGGAACGCACATACCAGGAGATCCAGGAATTGCAGGTATGGTCTGGGTTGGGGGTAGGTTGGCAGATCCTGTGAGGTCTTAGAGATCCCAGGGAAATAAACTATGAGCACTAGAATCAGAACACATCTGCCTCCTGTCCCTGTTTCTTTCTGTCCATTCTGAGAAGTCCCTCTAGAAACCCCCTTTTGGCTCTCAGGCTGCCTCCGTCTGGGGAAAGGATAGGTAGGGGCATTGGAAGGCAGACGTTGGCAGGGGACAGGACCCATCCCGAGTGGCACCTGCCGTCTGCCCAGTCCCCCAGCTGGCCCCTGGGGTCTCTGCCTTGCTCACAGTCTGTTTCTCCAACCCAGTGGGAGATCCAGAACACCAGCCGTCTGGCAGCTGATGGGGAGCGAGCAGCCGCTTGGCCCGTGGGCATTCCAGCACCATCCCGCCCAGCCTCCCGCTTTGAGGTGCTGCGCTGGGACTATTTCACTGAGCAGCATGCTTTCTCCTGTGCTGATGGCTCGCCCCGCTGCCCTCTGCGTGGGGCTGATCAGGCCGATGTGGCCGATGTTCTGGGGGCAGCCTTGGAGGAGCTCAACCGCCGCTACCACCCAGTCCTGCAGCTCCAGAAGCAGCAGCTGATTAATGGCTACCGTCGCTTTGATCCTGCTCGGGGTATGGAGTACACACTGGACTTGCAGCTGGAGGCGCTGACCCCCCAGGGTGGCCGCCGGCCCCTCACTCACCGGGTGCAGCTGCTACGGCCACTGAGCCGCGTGGAGATTTTGCCTGTGCCCTACGTCACCGAGGCCTCACGTCTCACTGTGTTACTGCCTCTGGCCGCGGCGGAGCGTGACCTGGCCCCTGGCTTCCTGGAGGCCTTCGCCACAGCAGCTCTGGAGCCTGGCGATGCTGCAGCCGCTTTGACCCTGCTGCTGCTATATGAGCCACGACAGGCCCAGCGGGCAGCCCATGCAGATGTCTTCGCACCTGTCAAGGCCCATGTGGCAGAGCTAGAGCAGCGTTTCCCCGGTGCCCGGGTACCCTGGCTCAGTGTACAGACAGCCGCCCCCTCACCACTGCGCCTCATGGATCTACTCTCCAAGAAGCACCCGTTGGACACGCTATTCCTACTGGCTGGGCCGGACACGGTGCTCACGCCTGACTTCCTGAACCGTTGCCGCATGCACGCCATCTCCGGCTGGCAGGCCTTCTTTCCCATGCACTTCCAGGCCTTCCACCCAGCCGTGGCCCCACCACAGGGCCCAGGACCCCCGGAGCTGGGCCGAGACACGGGCCACTTTGACCGCCAGGCGGCCAGTGAGGCCTGCTTCTATAACTCTGACTATGTGGCGGCCCGAGGGCAGCTGGCAGCGGCCTCGGAGCAGGAGGAGGAGCTCCTGGAGAGCATGGACGTGTACGAGCTGTTCCTCCGCTTCTCCAGCCTGCATGTGCTGCGGGCGGTGGAGCCGGCGCTGCTGCAGCACTACCGGGCCCAGACGTGCAGTGCACGGCTCAGCGAGGACCTGTACCATCGCTGTCGCCAGAGTGTGCTGGAGGGCCTGGGCTCCCGCACCCAGCTTGCCATGCTGCTCTTTGAGCAGGAGCAGGGCAACAGCACCTGAACCCACCCTGTACCCCAAAACCCTGGCCTGGGGGTGCTTCTCCCCAACTATCCGGAGCCACCTGTCAGCCTCCCTGGACTGGGCTGGCTGGCCACAGCCTCAGACTCCAGGACAGCCCACTGGCCTCCTCTCTCTGGCTTTGTGGGTGCTCAGGCTCAGGAGAAGCCCCGTGGGAGGTGCCCTCAGAGCCACCCCTTCCTGCCCCTGACACTGCTGACTCAAGCTGTGGCCTCAATATTTATGTAGTGCAGTCGCCTGACGCCAGGCCTGCCTCTAAGTCCAGGGGCTGGGCTGTAGATGACTTGTTGGGAAAGGGGGGAGCTGAGAGGAGGAATGTGGGGTGTCTCCCAGCTTCTCCCCTGTGGACCCTGATGAAGCTCTCTGCCTTTAATAAACTGGCTGAGTGTGGACTGGTGATTCTGGGTTTTTGAAAGGTAGGCAAGGGGCAGGGAGAGCTGACAGTGAGGATGGAAACTCTGTCCCGGCTGGGCCTGGATTTCCTTTTCCTGGGGACCAAGTCCTGCATATGCCCAGCCCCGCCCCAGCTCCCAGCCTGGTCACACATAGACACAGAGAATTCTTTATGCCTCTTTATTCCTAATTTCGTCTGCACTTATAAAACCAGACTGGAGACGCAGGCCTGAGAAAACTTTCTCCCCCACCCCCAAGCTCAGCCAGGGTCTGAAAGGTTTGCCTACTCCTTGTAGAGGGGACTCTGGGGGTGGGGATGGGACAGGGGGAATTGGGAGCTGGGCCAGGCCTGCTGGGCCATCCGCTCCCCCTGCCTCCATGGAGTGGGCCTGGAGAGGGGCAGGAAGTAGGAGAAGCCCAGCAGTCCCAACTCCTGGGAGCCCGCCCTCTCCTGCTGACACTCTAGGGCTGAGACCCTGGCTGTCACTGAATCACCCACCCCCATAACCCCACCCATCTTCTATATCTGTACTCCCACCCCCACCCTGTCCTCCCTAAATATATACAAATGTACAGAGGGTTCCACCCCTTCTGGGGTTGGCCACTTCCTCCACCTCCCTCTCTTCTCCCCTCTCTCCTCCACAGGGGGCCATGGTCTGCTCTCCAGCTCTCCCCAGGCACCAACCTTGGGAGGGGATATGGACAAGAAGGACCCTTGTGCGAAGCAGCTGGCGCCAGGGTCGGTGAGAACAGGAACTGAGTGTCTTCCCAGTGAGCACCACCCTCTCCCCGTCAGCCTTGGGCTGCCCACAGGCCTTCTGTCCTGGGAGCAGGAGGAGACTATTTTGGGGATCCAGGGAGGAGTCCCAGATGCCTTGGTCCTTTTAGACACAGCATCATCCTAGCAAGCGAAGTCTTCAAAGAGGCCTCCTGCAGGGCCGTGTGGGTGGTGGTGGTTGGGGAGCAGGTTGCTGGCTCCCCCACCTTCAGCCCGGCCCCGGCTCAGACAGGGACTCTGCAAGGTGAAGAGGGAGAGTTCAAACCATGCCCCCAAGCGTCACACAGCCAGCCTTTCCCTGTCCCCTGTGGCAGAGGCTCCAAGGGAGCCCAGGAACCCCTCTCAGGCTGGTACAGAAACCATGAGGGTGCTCAGTCCCGGGAGAAGGCGCTGGCTGCATCCTCTCAGGGCTCATCCTCACCTGCTCCTTCAGCTCCTGCAGCCCCAGGGTGGAGATGCCCCCAGAGGAGGTCCGCAGGGGGGTCTTGGGACGACGCCACACCCTCTTCAGTCGGTCCCAGGACACCTTGGGGTTCAGGGTGAGGGGACAGTTGTGGGCTCGGGAAACTTGGTAGAGGAGAAGGGCAGTAAGGAAGCGGGGGAAGAAATATCCTGGCATCTCTCCCTGGTATTGGTAGAGGAGAAGGGCAGACTAGCCAGGTTCACCTTATAGCACTTGCTACCCAGCAAACCCCAACTAGGACTCCCCGACCCTCTTCCCCCACCCCCTTCTCCTGACTTCTCAGCAACTTCAGGCCTTCTAGTCAGTCAGGGGGCCCTGGCAAAGAACCCAGAGCTTGACTTCCCGGCAGCCGGCTCCCCCAGGAAGCCCACACTCCCCTCAGCTTTTCCCACAGGCCCCCTCCTCTCCTCCGCCAGCTGTGTGGTGGCCCCCCACAGGCCCCTTCCTTGCCTCATAGATGTAGTCGAGGATCTCCAGCAGTGTGAGGATGCTGGCCCCGATGAACAGGCCCATCTGTCCCCCGAGGTCTCCTGGGGATCATGAAAGCGGGGTCAGAAGGAGCAGGCCCAGCTGACCCATGCCCATGGAATCTGAGCCAGGTCTCACCCAACAGGGCTGACAAGCCATAGGCTGCTCGCTGTTCCATGGCCTCGGAGGTCAGTGCTTCAAAAAAGACATCTAGGACCAGGAAGTTCTCCCTGCAGAGGCAGGAAGCAGAGTGTCCATGTGGGATCACCTTCCAAGGAGGTGGCTGGCAGGGACATCCCAGGTCCAGCAGATGCTGCTCTGAGGCCCCTTGTGCAGGGAAGCTGGTGACTACCCTCAGACACCCCAAGGCAGTGAGGGGAGGCAGTTCCAGATACATGTGAGCTTCACACTTTGAGGGTTATCAAAAGGCCTGGGAGAGCAAGAATGCCTGGGCCTGCAGATTCCCGCCTGTCTTCTCCTCCAAAGCAGCAAATAGTGTTCATGTTGCCTCATCCCTATCCCTCTCTAGAACCTTCAGTGGCTCCCTATTGCCCAACAGTCCACTCCAAAATTCCTCTTCCACACTTCCAAGACTGCCCACGATCTGTTGCACTGTGCCTTCTTATTAATCTGCTTTCTTACCTGCTTCTCGTCCCCTTCCTACTCAGGCCAATCTCCACACCACCACACAGTTCTCTAACTGGGATGCCACCCCTCTCTCCTCCTTTCTCCTCCTCTCACAGACCCAGGCTCCTCAGAGGCCCAGCTCATGCCTACCCTGCTTCCCTACCCCATGCCCATTAATCTCTCCTGGGGCCTGAGAAGCATACCACACCCTCACATATGGGCTCATCCACAACTTGTGGCGTGGGTTTTGTATCATAATCATCTGTCTTCACAGGACCCGGCACTGGGCCTGGCACCCACAGGATGCTCAGCATTTGTAGACTGGCTGCCGGGTGCCAGACCCAGTGTTCAGTGTGGCCCCTCCTCATTCCTCTCCCAGTCCTTCCAGTTTCTCTTCCTCAGCACAGCATTCACTCAACATGCATTTAACAGCCCCAGGTTGCTGAGGAAGAAAACACATACACGGGGGTTCTAAAACAATGGGTGCATGCAATGACAGAGATAGGGTGCTATAGCAGGTCAAATGAAAGGCATGTGGACCAACAAGGACTTCCCCGGAGGTGGAGACAAAGGATGTGACTTGGAGGATGGGTGGGGGTTAGAAGAAAAGGACTGAAAGCATTCCTGGCAGAAGGCTCATTATTAACAAAGATCCAACCTACTCCCCGTCTCCATCATGCACCGGGTGTGAAGGTGGCTTCCACCACACACACATGCACACCCGAACACGCACATGCACACACATACCGTATGTAGGTCTCATTGCGGTTGTACTTCCTGGCCAGGTACCGGGCTGAACCCCTGTTGGGGATCCTGACCATGGAGATTTCTTTCCCGTAGCGGGTCAGGTTGCAGGGAGTAGGACAGAAACATGGGCCCTCGGAGCCCCCACCCAGGGAGTCTGCAACACAGAGGCACCAACTGCAGTGGGGGTGGGTGGGGGGGTGGCCCAAAGGCCCACCAGCTGCAGAGGCTGTCCTGAGGCAGCCATGCCCACACTAAGGGCTTTTACTGGCCAGCACTGGCACTGCCTAGAGGACACTGGATGGGGGAGGGGGGGAGGTCCCTTCCTGGACCAGCTTCAGGCTACCCAACAAAGCAGATGAAGACAAAGCTCCCGGCACCCTCCCACAGGCTTGTCCCTCTGTCCCCAGCTCCCTGGGCAGCAGGGAGGGGGGTCCTCATCGCTCAGAGCTAATCAAACACATGAGGCCTCAGACACACAAAGGACTTGGAGAGGAAGCTGGGATGAATGGGTGGATGGATGAGTGGATGGATGGAAGGACAGATGGAGAGACAAGAGAACAAGTGGATGGACAGGATTTGTATGCTTAGTAAGCTGGGTTTTCTCTGTTCACACCTTCAGATCCACTCTCCATTCTCTGTCTTTCCCTGTGCCCACGAGGCTGAGCTCTGCTAAATGTGTCACCTGACTCCCTCATCCTCTGGCTTTGGGTTGGGAGGCCCCAGCAGGGTCAGAAGGCCAGGAGGGGAGAGATACCAGGGTATTTCTTTCCCCGCTTCCTTACTGCCAGGCCATCGTGAGCAGGGCCTTCATTCCTCCTCTTGTGACCACAGCTCCTGCCCATCAGCCCTCTCGGACAACCACAGCTCTCTCTGTGAGTTCCAGGGGGCTCCCCTCCTGCACCCATCCAGGCCTGGGGAAGGAAAGCCTGCTGGTGTTGATAGTTCTGTGAAGTCTCACCATCCCTTGTGGTTTACTTATCCCTGCTCACACACCTGTTCCTTCACTAGACACCCTTCACCCACCCCTCTGACTGCCACAGTTGGTGTGTGGAACAGGGAAGGCCTCAATGTGATTCTACTGCCTCAGCATCTCAAGCCCATCACTTCTCTCCTCCCCTGGCCACATCATCTGGGTTATTGCCAGGCTCTTCCGACTCACCCTGCTTCTAGTCTCACTCCACACCTATCCATTTCCCACATGTAATCAGAGTCACCTTCCTAAAATCAGATAGTATTCTTGCCTTGCCTTAAGCCATTGTTGGCTTCCCAGAGCCTCCTCTACTCTTCCCCACCCCCTCCGCTGTGCTTTGCCCTCCAGCCACACTGATCTTTCAGTGCCCCAGACATACGCTTTCTCTGGCCACAAGGTCTTTAGCATGCGCTCTTCTTACTGTCTAGAACATGTCCCTTTTTCACCTGGGTGACTCTGACGTACCCTTCAAGTCTCAGTCTCTGTCACTTCCTCTAAGAAGCCCCTCTGCCTTCCCAGGTGCATGCCCTTCCCTGGGGCCTTGTAGAATCTCTGAGGTTCCCATACCTAAGGACTAACACACTGTGTCTTAATGCCTATCCACAGCCTTGCCACAGTGAGCTCTGCCAAGAGCAGGGCTCTTGTTCCCATGCACACACCAGCACAGGCTGTAAATGTCTGTTGAATGAATGAATAAATGAATGAATGAATGAAGTGCAGATCAGACAGGACCTATGGACAGATGGGGCCTGTCTTACCCACACTGGGAGCCAGCAATGCATTTTTCCTTACACCAAGAAAGGAGTCATTTCACTTCCCCAGAGAGGCAAGCTCATTCTGAACCAAACCTAGAAGTCTGGGTTCTCTGCAACCCCTCACCCAGCTGCCTCCACTTACCCAAATGTTCACACCTGCAAAGGTCTTCAGACCCCTGGAGGTATGGGATAAGGCTC